GCCGTCGACCAGGTGAGGCCGGGAAAAAGAATCATGCCGCGGAGAGAGATACGATCGGCGCTTTCGGAGGCTGCCGCGTATCCGACGCGACGCGCGGATAAATCGGTGCTACGCTAAGAACGCGTCGAGAGGAATGCGAGTGCGTCGATTGATAGCGCGCGCACTCTTATCGGCGTACGTACCATTACGCCATTAAGCGTTGAGACCCAAACGTAGTTTTTGCCACTGTTTATTCTGCGATATGATTCTCACTGTTTAAATAAGAATTTGCGATGTATATATAAATATATACATTATTATAGAACATTATCAGCTATTAATCTTAGGACTATCCTCTCTGCTATTTTACATTGATATTTGCAAGATTGTATAGAGCTTTAGGATATTTAAATTTTATATTTTCTGAAAATATAATTAATTATATAAATTAATTCTCATTAACTAATCTCTGATTATCTTCTCAAAGATATTTATTGTACAGTTGTCTTATTGAATAACAGGGATGCGATGGAAATCGTTTATTACTCTATGGTAAGAAAAATAAATCCGTTAGTGTCTTCAAAATAATCAAATTCAATAAGAATTTGGGACGTATCTATAAATATGTACATTATAAGTACAGAGCATTATCAGCTATTATAATAATTAATCTAAGGACCATCCTCTTTGCTATTTTAAATTGATATTTGCAAGAATGTATAGAGCTTTAGGATATTTAAATTTTATATTCTCTGAAAATAATTAACTATGTAAATTAATTCCCATTAACTAATCTCTGATTATCTTCTCAAAGATATTTATTGCACAGTCGTCTTATTGAATAACAGGGATGCAATGGAAATCATTTATTACTCTATGGTAAGAGAAATAAATCCGTTAATGTCTTCAATTTCCTGTTTCAATCAATTAATATAAGAAGGCCTGCTACACAAGCAGGAGGAAATGTGGCGATATTTAGATAATGATCCCAGCGTTTTCTTATCGGTCTAATAACCGGGTTTTAAAAAATGGTACTATTGCGCCGATTTTACCGGGAAGGATTGCAAGAGAGCGTTCATTATAGATGTAGTTGAATACGTCGAAATCGTTATTTAGCGAGCAAAGCAAAGAGCGATCTAATTTTATCTACAATAATTTACGATTAAATCCACGACTAAATCAATGACTAAGCACGCAATTTAAAAAAAAAAAAAAAAAAAACCACTGTGTTACAAAGTCAGAAAGCAGTTTGATATTCGAAGAAACTCGTTCATTATTCGTCGATAAGTGGCCTAATTTTCAGTGTCCGATTCCGCTATATGTGGATAGGCAGATCCCTATCGAAGTAGCGAAAGAGACCGTTGCACAAGCGAAACCCAACGGATGCATAATCGAGAGCCTGAATCGCCCTCCGCCCCCCCCCCTTCGCGTTCACAAGGAATACACCCGATTCCGCTATATGTGGATAGGCAGATCCCTATCGAAGTAGCGAAAGAGACCGTTGCACAAGCGAAACCCAACGGATGCATAATCGAGAGCCTGAATCGCCCTCCGCCCCCCCCCCTCGCGTTCACAAGGAATACACGCGTTTCTTCAAGAATGTCGAGAACGGGTCGACCGGGGTTAATGCCTGCTTACCCCCCTAACGCGCATCCGCTTTTCTCTTGGGTTGTATCTCATTTGTAAAGATTCCGGGACAAAGGAGCAGGAACGCGATCGTCTTTATGTATCTGGCGTGGCGTTTGACCCCCTCCCTCCCCCCTTCCCCTCCCCTCCCCCACGCCGCCGGCCAGGGGACGCATCCACCGGACGTACGGACAGACAGAAGCGCGAGTCTTGTCAAGTACCGCGATTCTAATCTGACAGGGACGTATTGGGCCCCGCTGACCGGGACGTATTGGGCCGGCTGACCGGGGTACTGGCCGGATCCTCGAGGAGTCGGCCCGATCTTCGGCTATTATTAGTCACCGACGAGAGAAAGAGAGACCGGCATGGATTTCCATACATTCCCGAGCGGCGCCGAAACGCGGTCGATTCCGGCATTTAATCATGAAATCCGAACACGAGGAATATCAACGTGTATTTGTGAGGACGCCCCCCTCGCGTTCACAAGGAATACACGCGTTTCTTCAAGAATGTCGAGAACGGGTCGACCGGGGTTAATGCCTGCTTACCCCCCTAACGCGCATCCGCTTTTCTCTTGGGTTGTATCTCATTTGTAAAGATTCCGGGACAAAGGAGCAGGAACGCGATCGTCTTTATGTATCTGGCGTGGCGTTTGACCCCCTCCCTCCCCCCTTCCCCTCCCCTCCCCCACGCCGCCGGCCAGGGGACGCATCCACCGGACGTACGGACAGACAGAAGCGCGAGTCTTGTCAAGTACCGCGATTCTAATCTGACAGGGACGTATTGGGCCCCGCTGACCGGGACGTATTGGGCCGGCTGACCGGGGTACTGGCCGGATCCTCGAGGAGTCGGCCCGATCTTCGGCTATTATTAGTCACCGACGAGAGAAAGAGAGACCGGCATGGATTTCCATACATTCCCGAGCGGCGCCGAAACGCGGTCGATTCCGGCATTTAATCATGAAATCCGAACACGAGGAATATCAACGTGTATTTGTGAGGACGACTAGATTATTTAATGCTGTGTAATATATATATGCTTTTCTTAAGATTATAGAGTTCTTGAATAAGAAAACTGCTTATAAAGCAAAGAATCTCGACACGAAATATTTTTTGTTTATGTAAATGGGATAAACGGAAATGATATTGATGAAATTCCTGTATATAGTTGAACGTCAATATATTTATCATTCTTGTATATTCTGTAAGATAAATGGCGATTTAGTAACTTCGAGATTATGTCAATAATTAATCATGTAAATTGTAGGTTTTATCAACTTTGTTTATCAAAATTATAATAATGACTAAGCATTTATATTCCATTTTAAGGAAACCTGACTAGGTTAAAACAGAAAATATCGATACATCTAATCGTCGCAAAAGTCGTTAAAGAGAGTCATTTCTTCTCGTGGACGAGGGTATAACGGAAGTCTAGTCGAAAGTGACTATCGTCGATTATTCGTCATGTCAGTCCTTCCACTCTGCTGTAGCTTGTACGTTAATGTTACCTATTACTTATCAGTCGTCCCTTTTGACAGCTGCGTTCGAATTTCGATGTGTTTCTCGAATATCTTCGATTTTCAATCTTTGATTTTCAACCTTCGAGAGTTCCTGGCGACAAAAATATTTGACATTCAATAATAATCTACGCCGAATTTTAGTCGGTTTCATTTTACCTCAAGTGTATAATTTCTCTCGTTTTATTTAAAAATTATCACAACTTTTATATTATATTATATATTTTTTTTTAATTATATTATTTGCTCTACAAATGTCTCATAATTATATTATTTTTCACTATTATTGTATTTTTACAGAAATCCCAGGTAATAGACTCGTTATAGCTTTTTTTTTTCAGAAAAATTCAATATTTTCCCCATAAACAATGTAATAAAGAGATACGCGAAAGGTATCAGAGACAGAATAGAGTTTCGCGTGGACAGCGATAGAGCCGGGTTAAATGAAGTATGATACGCGTTAATCTGACACCACTCACGATCAGCGTAACGCAACACACGCAACGCGTTTACGGTATAACGTAGGCGTGGCTGGCGTGATATCAACGATGGCCACCTTTTGACTGTAAATCAATCGATATCTCGTCTGCAGGAGGGGCTTTCCATGGAGTCCGCACGATGCCTGAAACGAGTCGGGGGTGGAAAGCATGCGCCAAATGCTGAATGCGAATCGACCCGCCCCGCCGCTTTCATCCCTATAGAGATGGTCCCGACTATCTTTCTCGCTTTCCTTTTTATATCGCGTTGATGGTTGAAAATATTTAAAAGAATCTATATTTGACTTTCTTACATTATTATTAATACACTATAAATAGAATTATATTTTCATGTAGAAAACAATAATTTTTTCTGTCTGTGTAATAATAATTTTTTGTGTCATTATTGACTATTTAAAAAAAACTGAAGATAATTTTTGTCGTATAATTAAACATTTATTATATTTATATATTCTAATAATTTTAATAGAAAAGATAATTTTAAAGAGACATAGTTTTATAAAAAATTTGCAATTGTTTTAATTTTGTAATTATGTTATCGAATAATTTTTAAACGAATATCAAAAAGATTTGCTAGACGTTTAGTAAGTCTAGTATTATTTAAATGTAATTCGAAATTGTTTTTCATTTCATTGACATACCCATTTACATTATTGACTATTTAAAAAAACTTAAGATAATTTTTATTATATAATTAAACATTTATTATATCTATATGTATATAATCTTAATAGAAAAATAATTTTAAAGAGAGATAGTTTTATAAAAAATCTGCAATTGTTTTAATTTTGTAATTAGGTTACTAAATAATTTTTAAATGGATATAAAAAAGATTTGCAAGACGTTTAGTAAATCTAGTATTATTGTTTTTCGTTTCGGTGACACACCCATTTACATGTTATAATCCTCGATTGTAACACGTCTCGCAAATGACATGTCGCGTAATCATTGATTAATCAGGCTTTCGATTCCGCCCGCAGGTGTCTTAGATTACACTTTACCTGAGCAAACGTTCACGTGACGAGGAGAGGTAAGCGCTGACAAAATAAATCATATTCGATGGCTTGATAATTGGGAATATTTAATTCGAATTTAAATAATCTTACAAGTATCAGTTGTCGCGTGATCGTTCGTATGATCGCTACGATTCATACATATCATACGTAAATAAATAACTAAGTTATATTTTAAACAGTCTATATCGGGACACAACGCCGCCGCTAAGTGATAAATTATGTACACGTCGCTCCGTCGATTACATATACAACACACCTATACATAGCTCATCTCTCTATATTTGCTTTTCTTTCTATATATATATATATATATTCTATTGCACGTCGCAATCACTCCAGCTTTTCTTCGCGATATATAATATCTTACATTTTTACAATAAATTAATGTAAAATCTAATTTTCCCGCTTCTCCTTTTACTCACTCGATTCCTAGTCTTCTCCGTCACGAGACGATTCCGTACGTTTTCGTGTAAATAATCTTGCCGGAAAAATTGCAAAAAATGGCACTTGTTAATCTCCTTCGTGAAAAATTAACCGCTGCATGCCATCGCAGTACGCTAATCGAACACATTTTATTTTTATCTTAGAACTGGATCAAATTTTGTATGCGAGAGAAGATCACGTAATAATAATTAGTATATTTATTGGAAAAATTTTCCCTCCCGATATTGTGATATTATTAGCCGCGTTTTCTTCTTTTACGACAATACAGAATGTCCCGGAAAATCCGGATTTGCGGTATATCCTGTATCGCTTTTCTGAAAATCAAAATCTGATCCAACCATGTGTGTACTTCGATCTAGGAACGTGTGCCGTAGTTTTTATATTATTTCTTCTCGCCTTTCAAAGCGATGGCAAGAAACGGCGCGCGACCGTAACTTATTCACGTAGCCATCTCGGTAACTAACATTTTTTTCTCACAATTAATTGTCGAACGAAGGCGAGCGACATACGTCAAATGCTGTTTTATCGGAAGCTCTAATTACAGAACAAGAATTCCTCGAGTTGATTCGTTTGCTGTCTAACGAGTTGTCACTCTAGTACATCTAACGAAATAAATACTCCAGTCTTTCATTTTAAGGAAGAGAAATGGCAGACCGTAGGCTTTGGGGGCCCGCTCAGAAAGCTTTCCTTTTTATTACCTATTTGGCCAATATGACTCTTCAAAGTATAATATACCACATATTTATTCTTTTTTCTTAAATAACACGAAAATTTACACCGCTTTGGTTAATTATGACTTGCTTTCAGAAACTTGCATAATTAGCAAAATGAACAAAAATATTTGTTGTGATATTCGCATTCTCTTTTGCAAAAATGATTCATTAAAAAAATGATCGCTTCGTGAGTTTCTAATATCATCAAATGTTTTTTTAATCGTATCGAAAGAATTTTTTTATTCTAGCTATCTAAGTATATTTTAATTTTTTCAAAGATTCTATTTTTCCTTCTCCCGATTTTTTCTCAAAAATCCTTACGCAAAGGATTAAAACGAAAGAGGATAATTTGATCTTTGCTTATAGCATCTTTGGGGTCAGATACGAAATTTAGGGCTCGAAGTTACATATTAACATTTTGTCGAATGTTTCTGTTTAAGTTTGCATACGTCATTTCGCTTGGAGCTCCGCGGCCTGTTCCTCTTCCTCTTTAGTGAGCGGTACCGTCGAGTGATTATAGAGTCCCTGTGCCATCAGCTGGAGCGCGAGAGGATTTTTCTGGCCGCTGGCCTTCTTGATTTTCGCCCTCTTGTTCTGGAACCAGATCTTGATCTGCGCCTCGTTCAAACCTAGGTCCCTCGAGAGCTGCTGCCTCCGTCTTTCCGTCAGGTATCGGTTCTCCGCGAATTCCCTCTTCAGCCTCGCTAACTGCTCTCCGCTAAACGCCGTCCTAGGACGTTTCTCTTCGGGAGTACCGCCACCGCGTCCGTCTGTCCTCTTTACTCTTCTCGTGCGTGGACCTGCAACACGGGATGGTCCTAGCGTTAACTCATATCTGTCAATATGTTCATCCAAGAACATCTATACGCAGGTAAAATTCAGTTTTTCGCATACGGGCCCGAACACATAAAAAAACTTAAGCAGTAAGACTTAAGACGTAAGCGAATTGACCAATCACGATCGAACAGTAAGGCAGCCATATTGAAACGTAAGCAACGCTGAAAATTCCATATGAATAAAATTCTTAAGTCTTAAGTCTTACTGCTTACGTTTTTCTATGTGCCACGGCTCTAAGAATATCTAAACTAGTCGATGTTTTTTTGTTACATATAAAGATGAATATACCATAGATATAAACGTATATATCTTTTATTTGGATATAAAATTTTCCCAAGACTTGTTCTCCGCATTTTCATAAAGCCAATCTTTCATTTCTTTGATATGATATTCTCAGCAAATGTTATCGGGTAAAATCTCCTACAAATGACAATATGTGCAAGAAGCCTCAGATTTTAAACAATACTTCACATAATATCGCCGTATAAGCTTTAGACAGACATTGATTCAGCAAGTTTACACGCCGATAAATCTGAGAAATTAACGAACCGCCGGCCGGCAAGTTTTACGGCAACTTTTATTGTCTAGGCTGTCTTGAGTGTTTTTCCCTCGGCGTGTTTGTGCGTCGGGTCTAAGTCCGGTTATGCGCGAGTGTCTTCTATAACAAGCCGGTTACTTGGGAGGAGCCGGGGTCGGAAAGTTCGTCGACGGAATAAACGTCCGACTGGAAGGACTCCTCCCGCCGAGACGAAGTAAATCCTTCCGTCTTTTGGCTCTACCTGCTTTATCGTGCTGCGGATGCGTTCGCGCGGATCACCGTGACGTACCTGGCAGCGACGGTTTTAAATCACACGCATTATTATTGCCGCCACGTTGCGTATCCTACGTGCGTAAACACGCGCGTTTCAGCCGCCACGGTGTCACCTGTGTGAAGTTAGCACCCCACCACGGTGTCGCTATTCGCATGTTTACGTCGGAACCGTTTCTTGAGATTCTGATTGATTACACATATTACGTGACAGAATTCGATAAAAATATAATACTTACTCTTCTCAAGTATTGAGATAATTAAGGAACTGACTGAGATACAACTCAGAACAAAATTTTCAAGACCAGAACAACAATATAAAGCCTACTTTACTCTTCATCAAAAAATTTTATTTTCCGATTTTCTTGGGTAAAAACCTTGTTCCAACATGTCCTTGTTCCATCACATCCTTGTTGTCAACATGGAACAACCTTGAAAAGTTCGATTTTTGAAAAATGGGGTGTCAGGTCAAAAAATAAATCACACGCATTATTATTGCCGCCACGTTGCGTATCCTACGTGCGTAAACACGCGCGTTTCAGCCGCCACGGTGTCGCTATTCGCATGTTTACGTCGGAACCGTTTCTTGAGATTCTGATTGATTACACATATTACGTGACAGAATTCGATAAAAATATAATACTTACTCTTCTCAAGTATTGAGATAATTAAGGAACTGACTGAGATAGAGAGAATACACAAACATCTTATATTACGGTAAGTATAATTTTTTAGAGATAATTATTGGGTCAGTCAAAAAAAGTTTGGTTCGATTTTTAATAGTTGGCGTCACATATACATATGTAATATAAGCAACAATATTGATAATGTTTATATGTTATATACGATTTTAAAGGTGATAACTTCAGTTATTATTTGCGCATAATATTAGTGCATTTAAATGCTGCTTAAATTAATTAAAAATGAGCGTTAATAAAGTGTATTTGCGTTATTTAAGTTTAAGGAAAATGTAAATGTTTCTGACAGCATATGTAAAGTTTATGGAAATACTGCAGTGACTATTAAAACAGTTGAAACATTATTGATTAGATTGATAATTAAATCATCATCCATTTCTATTGAGTGTCCAGAGCGTTTATCTTTTAAGTTAAAATCACTGCGTCTAAAACATGCAAATTATTTTCTAACTGTTTTAGTAGTTACTGCAATCTCTCTATAAGTCTATAAATTGTCAATAGCAGCAGCAACATTCTTTCTAAACTTAAATGACATAATATGACGCAAATGTATTTTATTAACGCTTATTTTCAATTAATAAATACAGCACTTAAACGTAATATAAATGCATGACGTAATATAACGTAATATAATGCTATGCGCAAATGATAGCTAAAGCTGTTACTTCAAAAAATTTCTAAAAATTCGGACACATTTTTGTCTGAATTTTCAGAACTGGGTGTCTGAAAGAAATTTCAGACAATCTGTCTTAATCAACAGAGTCGTTTTTCTAAAAGTTCAGAAGAATTTGTTTAAAAATCGAAGTGTGTCTGAAAATTCAGACAATATATCTGTAAAAAAGCTTCAGACACTTTGTCTGAAGTTTCAGTCGATTTTTTTACAGTGAGTATTGTTGCATATACAGGGTGTCCGATGTCCGATAATAATCGCCCCACCCGTAATGTGCATGCCAGGTAGAGCAGATAAAACCGAGTAGGAAAGTCCTCTACCGTTTTGCGATCTTCGCAATAATTAATAAGAAATTAATTAAAAAAGATCGGCCAATTCATGTGAGTATTACCGCGTGGTGAGAAAGAACACGAGGACACATCGTTATGTACCGTTTGTACGTAACGTTGTCATTTGTAGAGCGCTCCTCTCAAGACTTTGTCGCGCGCTTAGCGACCGCATATTTTTGAGTTATCTTTTCGTTGCGCGCCTAAACTCGCGCGAATTGGTCGATTTTTTAAAATTAATTTCTTAATAATTATTATGAAAATCGCAAAATGGTAAAAGACTTTCTTGCTCGGTTTAACCCGCTCTATCTGCACATTATGGATGGGGCGATTATTATCAGACACCCTGTATATCATGTATGCGACGCCAGCTATTAAAAATCAAATCAAACTTTTTGACTGACCCAATATAATAACAAAAAAAAAAAAAATATTAATATTTCAAACTCGACGAGGTTTAT